TAGATTAGGATTATTTACATTAGAAAGATGGAGGTTGAGAGGGGGACCTGATTGAGGTCTACAAAATCATGAGAGGTATAGACAGGGTGGATAGCAAGAAGCATTTTCCCCAGAGTGGGGGACTCAATTAATAGGGGTCACGATTTCAGGGTGAGAGGGGAAAAGTTTAAGGGAGATATGTGTGGAAAGTTCTTTACGCAGAGGGTGGTGGGTGCCTGGAACACGTTGCCAGCGGAGGTGGTAGAGGCGAGCACAATAGCGTCATTTAAGATGTATCTAGATAAATACATGAATGGGCAGGGAGCAGAGGGATACAGATCCTTGGAAAATAGGCGACAGGTTTAGATAGAGGATCTGGATCGGCCCCATTGGCTTGGAGGGCCGAGGGGCCTGTTCCTGTGCTGTAATTTTCTTTGTTCTTTGTTAATTACTATTGTAACACAAAATGCAGCAGCCAATTTGCACACAGCGAGTTTCTAAAAAGTGGCAATGTGACAATGTGACAATGATCAGTTTTTTGCAATGAGATCGAGAGATAAAAATTGACCAGGACACCTTGAAAATAATGGCATGAAATGTTTTAGATCCACCCAAAGGTCAAGCAAGGCCTGAAAAATGGTACCTTTAAATAGTGGTAGAAAACAGTTTAAAAATTGGTTAAGAAGTGGCAGGGATTTTAAATAATTTCTTTATTTCAGTATTGACCAGGGACACAAATCAGATTGGCATGCTGTTGGATGAGATTAGAAATAAAATAACTACACACAAAGTAGGGGAAATAGTTGTTAGGATTTCGAATGCACTGCCTGGGAGAGCAGTAGAGGCAGATTCCATGGAAGGTTTCAAAAACAGCTGGATATATATTTAAAAGTGACGAATTTAGAAGGCTACGGAGAGATAGAGCTCCAGAATGGAACTAGCTGGCTGCCTGTTTCAGAAGCCGGTACACATGATGGGTTGAATAGGCTCTTTCTGTAGTATGAAAGTCTATGATTCTATATCGGAAATAAGTTAATCATTTCAGTATAAATGCCTAATTTGGATGGACACTTTAAAAGAATACAGAATAGTGATAGGGACAATATTACACGTTTAATAATTTATTTGAAAAATTTGCAGTCCCAGAAGACTAACTAACGTAATATCTACATACAAAGGAAGTAGATGATGATGGAATGTAATGAAAGTGAAGAAAATAGACAAACATTCACAAAGTAAAATTGTTTTAATGAACAGCATGAATTTTAGAAGGGAATGTCTTTGAAGAGGCAACAGAGTAGGCAAGACTAATGCAGTAGATGTAATTTGTCTAGATTTTTTAAAACACTTATGCAAAGTACAACATAATAGACAAATTTAAGTCAGAGCATAAGGAGTTGGGGGCAAGCATCAGCTTGAATGGGTAACCAGCTAGCACCAAGATGAAAGGCAGAATTTGGTAAAGGGTATCCATTTAGAACGGCACAGGTGAAAACTGGAGCTCCACAAGGTTCAGTGTTGAGACCACTATTGTTAGAATTTATCAAAATAGACTAGTGTTAATATTTTGATTAAAAAGGGACCTTTATTTTGGAAATTATAATCCAAATACAGTATAGGAACAAGGAATTTCAGAGTGCAAATGTACACATCACTATAAGTTGTCAAACAGTTTATCAAGGTCATTAAAAGACAAACTAAGCACTAGGACTTATTTCTAGATTAGAAATGAGAAATGAAACTGGTTTTAAACTTTGGTGCTATCACACTGTACAATTCTGTTCTTATAGTGTAAAAAGGATACAGTGGCGCTGAAGATGATGCAGGTTTACAGAAATAGATCAGAAAGGAGAGGTTAGACAAAGAATTTATTTTTAATGGGAAGAGTTGGCATAGGTCAGATGGGTGACATAACAGAGGTATTTAACCACAGTCAAAATATAAACAATAAAAATGAAAGAATTGGCTTCACTGTAACTTTAATGAAATGCTTAACTATACATATATTAACTACTAATTAACTGTTCCAACATAGTAACATTCCGTAAACACACCCTTAGCAAAGGCAAATTCAGTAAAATAGATTGTCTCACATGCAATTCTAGCAGGAGGAGAACCCTAGGTTTTAGCTGTAAGAGAAGGGAATAACAGCTGGATGTAGAAGCTTCAAGACACCAGCAACTGGTTCTGTGGGAGCTTGACCCCATGCATTCAGGCAGCTTTTATTGTTCGAATTTTTAAAAAAAAACCTCAAAGGCCTAACAAGCTGTTTACTATTTTGGCTTTAAGCATACTGCTCGTAGCCTCGGTCTCAACCTTTCTTCATAAAAAAAGGAAAAAAAATGGACAAAATAGACCTCAGAGCCATAGTATCATCACACATCCACCCTTAAAAATATGAACCAATGTACAAAGATGGCTTCATTTTTAAAAACCTTTAGCCTTACTCTATTAGTACACTACAATACATATATTAAACTGACTCTAAGCTTGCAAAAATTCACTACTACAATCAATTTCAGTCTGTTTTGTCCTGTCACTAAACGCTTCCGTCTTCCTTCAAAGTTGCGACAACGCATCAGCAACTGCATTCTCTCATCCTGCCATGTACACAATTTTCAAACTGAATGGCTCCAATGTCAAGCTCCATCTAAACAGCCTTGAATTTTTATCCTTAAATTTTTCCAAAAACTTTAAGGGGTTATGATCAGTTTATATAAGTGCCTCAAACACATCACTGGCAATATAAATGTTGAAATGTTGCAATGCCAACACTAATCTCAAGGTCTCCTTCTCAACTGTGGAATATTTCTGTTGATGATTATTCAATTTTCTGGAAAAGTACCCAATAGGTCTTTCTATCTTCTCGTCATCTTCTGGCAAGAATACAGCATTGACACCTAATTCACTTGCATCGATAGCCACCTTGGAAGGCTTTGCATGATTAAGTGTGGCTAAAACCGGGGCAGTGATTAACACAGCTTTCAGGCTGTCAAATGTCTTCTGTCATTCCTCTGCCCAATGAAACTTTTTGCACTTCAAGTCAGCCAGTGGAGCAATCACACTGCTAAAATTCGGTACAAACTTCCGATAAAAACCACTCAGTCCCCAGAATCATAGTATTTCCCTCGTCATCGATGGTATGGAAAACTCCCCAATAGCCTTTGTTTTCACATCCCATGGGGCCATTTGTTGATGTCCAATAACTTGGCCCAGAAATGTGACTTGGGCTTTTGCAAACTCACTCTTAGCCAGGCCAGATTTATCACCAAGCCTGCCTCCCGAAGTCGATCGAACAATTCTGATAGATGTTCAAAACGTGTGGCTAAAAATCATCAAATCGTTGATATATACTATACAATTGGGTAATCCAGAAATGACTTTTTTGTTAGTCTTTGAAATGTGGCTGGCACATTTGTCATACCAAATGGCATGACTTTATACTGGTACAGTCCATTCAGTGTCATGAAAGCCAAAATTTCCTTTGCTCTTCCAGTATTCTCTGAGTAAGTCCAATTTTGAGGCATAAATTGCTCGTCCCACCTTCTCAATACAGTCTTCCAAACGTGGATTAGGATATGAATCAGATTTTGTAGCTGCATCGACTTTCTGATAGTCCACACATAACCGTTGCATACTGTCTGGTTTTAGCACCATTACTACAGGTGAGCTCCACTGGCTACAACTCATTTCAATTATATTGTCTCTGATCATGCATTCAATCTCTTTTTGAACCTGTGCCAACTTTAGAGGGTTAAGTCTATAAGGATACTGCTTAATTAGAACAGTGTTTCCTATAACTACATCATGCATAATTAGGTTTGTACTTCCCACAAATCTCCCCATACGAATGTAATAACTCTTTCAGATCATTTTGATTTTTTTCTGGAAGGTAACGCAATAATTTATACCAATCTTTGAGAACTTCCTCATTGTCCAATTTTATTAGAAAATTTCCACTTTAGAATCATCTGAACTTAGTACTTCATTGTGTTGCAACCTGTAACACATTCTCTTTTTGCTTTCTTTCCCTATCAAAATACCTTTTCAGCATATTCGTATGACATACATTTCCTTCTATCTGGCATTACTATCAAATGATTCAACTCACTCTATTTCCTGTCGATTTGATAAGGCCCACTAAATCTTGCCTCAAAAAATTCACCTACCACTGGGAGTCGCACTAACATTATTTCCATGAGTAAATTTATTAATTTTTGATTGCTTGTCTGCTTCCTGGTTCATCACATGCTCTGCTACTTTCAAATGCAATCTAGCCAACTCACCCACTCAATTTAATCTTTCCCTAAAATTTGACATATTGTCCAAATATATGGTCTCTGAACGGACTTACCAATTTCTCCTTAATTTCAGTGGTCCTCTCACCTCATTCCCAAAAACGAATTCAAATGGATTGAATTTAGTTGATACATTAGGTGCATCCCTAATCGCAAAAAGTCCAAATGGAATTCCTTTACCACAATCCTCAAGCCCTCAACATGGTCTTTAAAGTTTGATTTACAAACCAACTCAATCATCTGCCATTTCCACTGCTAATCTTGCAGTCTTAACTGTCTACTCTTCTGCATGAGTTCTCACTACTTCACAAAGTGAATTTTTGAACTCCTCCAAAATAATAATCTAAGGGCATCATATATTTGATCTATTTACAATGCCCTTATCCACCCATCAAAATTACTTTGTTTGATTCTTTCAGACTCTATGTACATTTGACCAGTTCCCTCCATAGATTCCTAGAATGTTGTCTGAAGGCCTCTGGTACTAGCTTATATGCACTTAAGATAGCATTTTTCACTTCATCATACTCCCCAGATACCTCCTCTGACAGTGATGCAAATACCTCACTAGTTCTATCTACCAACTTGCATGAAATCAATAATACCCACATGGTCACCAACATTTCATTTCTTTTGCCACTTTCTCAAATGAAATGAAAAAGGCATCTACATCCTTCTTGTCAAACTTAGGCAACATTTGGACATGTTTAAACAGATCCCTACCAGGCGTTTGGCTATGATGGAATTGCTCTCCATCACCAGGTCATCACTACTCCTATCTTTCACTTCTACCTCCGTCATTTTAAGTTAACTTTGAGTTTTCAGTTTCCAACTTCCGAAGTTCATAAACTCTCTCTTTCACTTTCAATTATAATTCAAACTGTTTGATTTCCTTTGCATGTTCAAGCCTGCAATTGCTATTGGATTTTAACCATTTCCAATGATTCTGAAGGCATAGCCAGCAATTGTAAATGTCGAGCCATTGATGCAATTACCTCACGTGAATCCAAAGGAACCCTAACTTCAGCTTGTCTGCCAATTCCAACAGCTTTGCCTTGTTCACTTTCTGTAAAACTCTCAAAATGATTTCTTCCAATTCCACGAAACTCTTAGTGACTGGAAGAGCCATTATTACATAAGGCACACCCTATTTAAACAAACCAAATGCCACACCAGAAAAGAGAACACCACTCACTGCCTTTGAGTCCAATAATCCCAAACCCAACTTGGAATTACAGACATTTTGATCTGACAAGAATCCCCAGTTTGGTATGGGCCAGGCCAAACCCGCTCAAAATATATGTTATGATGATAGCTAAGGCACTAACTTTTTCTAATTTCAAAGGTAAATGTAAGCACTGTGCTCCAGATGCAATTCAATTAAGCAAAACACACTTTATTTTGACACAACAGTTAAAACACAAAGTAAAAAGAATCAACTTAACTGTAACTATTGAAATGCTTAACAAAATAATATATATACCAACTATCACTAATTAACTGTTCCAAAACAGTAACATCCCATAAACACACCCTTGGCAAAGGTAAATTCAGTAAAATAGATTGCCTCACTTGCAATTCTAGCAGCAGGAACAGAATAGCTGTTACAGAGAGGGGAATAAGAGCTTCCACATTTAGCTTCAAGACCCCAGGAACTGTTGAAAGCTAAAACTAAAAATCATGGTTCTGTGGAAGCTTTATCTCACCCATTCAAACTACTTCTATTGTCCCAACTTTATAAAAATACCCAAGGCCTGAAAAGCTGTTTATTGACTTAGAGCAGACCACTCGATAACTCTGTCTCAACCTTTCTTCAAAAAACAAAAGAACAGAATGCACCTCTTAGAGCCATAGTGTTGTCACACAACCCTGAGCTTTTTCTAAATTATTGAAGGACAGAACTCCGCTCACTTTTTGGCCCTGCTGTCCTGGAATTATATTCTAGGATCACGGTCTTTAAATTTAGTTGCATTCAAACCACAAACTTGTCAAATTTGCAAATGCCAAGACTGGGACAGGAACCAAATGAATCCAAAGGGTGCACCAGGAACTTAAATTAATTAGGTACAAATATACACAATACCATGACAAACAAATATTGTTTATATAAAGAAAGAACACAAAATAATCAACTTTCAGACTCTCATGAATGGGAGCAAAATACACGAGTTGAAGCTGAGAAAATTCTGGACCTTTCGATTAACACAGCAATCAAATAATATGCTGATATTTTGAAAACCAAAAATTTTAAGGAGAATGAAGTTCTAATCTGGTTAGACCTTATTCAAAATAAGGTCTTAAAAACGAGGCTTCCAGAACTTACAGCAGACCCATCAGCATCTATACGAAGAAAACTGAATAAAGAAATTCTACAATGGAATCTATTATTTCACAATACCAGACAATGGCAAACCTATGTTTTTCAGCAAGTTTTGAATTTTGTCTCATATTTAGGATGTTTTTTTTTCTTTTCATATATCTTGAATTCTACAGTATCAGAGAATTATTAAAACAGAAAAGGCAGCACCCTGAGATACAAAACTGATCTCCAGTTTTAATAGATTGAGGTGTGTGCAAGACTTGTAAAACGAATCTTTTCTGACTTGAAAGGAAGAAACCGAGGGAGAACTGTAAAGATATAAAAGTAAGCAAATGCAATGGAATTCTGCAGCACAGGAGCTGTCTATGGAGGAAATGCATTTATGCCAGCTAAAGAACAATCCACTAATCCAACACTCTGCCTGTTCTCTGAGTACTAAGTTTTTCTCCCCTCAAATATTCAGCCACTCTTCTTTTTTAAAAAAAATACTGAATACAAGCTGTTTCCAGTAAGAAATTCCATGTCCCATCTAGGATCTGAGCAAAATGAATCTCTCCTAATCTTTCCCCTTTAGGAATTCATTAATATTCATCTAGTTAAAGAGAACAGAAACAGTTTTAACAATTTTCCTCATGGAGGTCCCCTATAATTCTGAGCACATCCATCAGACTTCCTTAGCTTTCCCTGCTTTAACGATGGGAAATACCACTTTGTTAACTTAAGTGGCTTACCCCAATATTCATCTTCATAGGCCTCATTATCATTTCCCGCCTTTGCATCCTTCCTTAAGTACCCTAAACCAGATGCAATAGTTTGACTGCAACCCAAGCAATTTTTGCATAGGTTAGCATGACCTCTTTGCATTGATACTCTTTCATAAATAGGGACACATAAAATTAAAAGTTCTAACAATTCAAAGTTCAAACAAGTGTTAACTTAACCTTCTGCTTTTAAAAATCTGTCTACGTATCAAATGCCTACTGATTTAAAGTTTTATAATTTAATGTGCAATTACTTCTCTCATTCTATGTTACAGAATGCACCACCTGCAATTCCCTACATTTAATTTCATCTAGCACCTCTCTGCCCAACATGTTTTCTTCCAAAGCTGCTCAGTCATCTCTGGATAACTAGCTTCCTTACTTCTGCCAAAAATGTTGACACTGTATCCCCAAAAAGACTTAATGCTGACTCCAGGACGATATATTTAAGCCCCCACATGTTCTTTTCATCATCACTATTTTCAATCTTCTGATTAGCTTACTATTCATGTTTTCACATCCCCTTTAACATCATTTCTAGGTGGGAGCTACAACTTTCTGGAAATATATATGCAGGTTCACTGCAATCTATCAATATTATTAATTATTGCTACACATCTATTCTTCATAAAGGAATAATTCACTACATTTATAATTATGATGTCTGGAGAGGGTAGTAAGGTTATCGATTTGTTGGGGTTAAGTTTTCAAAATTGACTAGATTCTGGAAAGGTTTCATCATCAGACTGAAAACAGCAAATACAACACTTCTAGGGACGAAGGGATGGAGGTACAAAACAGAAAACTATAGGCCAGTTAGCTTGATGTCTGTCATTGAAGTGCGAGAATAAATTATTAAAAAGGTTATAGCTAGACACCTAGAAAAACGAGGTAATTGAAAAGAGTTAGCCTGATTTTGTGAAAGGAAAATAACATATAATGAATTTTGAATATAGAACTGTACAAGGCCTTTCAGCTCACCAGGTCTACACCAACCACGATACCATTCTAAACTAATCCTGTTTGCCTACACATTATCCATATCGCTCTATTGCCTGCCTGCCTGCTCATTTTTCTAAGTGCTTTTTAAACGTTGCCATTGTATCTGCTTCTACCACCTCTCCTGGCAGCAGATTCTCTGCACCTACCACCCTCTATATAAAATACCAGCCTTGCACATTCTTTTAAACTTTATCCCTCTTGCGTTAAATCTTATGCCCATTTCCATCCTGTCAAAAATACTTTATCTTCCCTATCCATGTCTCTCAAATTTATATACTTCTATTAGGTTGCCTCTCAGCCTGTAATGGTCTAGCAAAAACAGCCCACTTTCATTCAAACTCTCCTTACAGCTAAAGCACATTGATCCAGGCAACATCCTGATAAAATGTAGGAACAAATTAATGTAGATGCTGGAATCTGTACTGCAAACAACAAATGCTGGATGCTATCTGACCTCTGACCTCTTTTGCACCCTCTCCAAAGCCTCCATATCCTTCCTATAGTGTGACGAAGAGAACTTCACACAACACCCCAAATGTAGTCTAACTAGATTACTAAAATGGTGGACTGAGAATAGTGTGGATCTTGCAGCTGCTCCTGAAATGGCAGGCTTATTCATACATTTACTTCTAGATTTCTCACAGTTATTACATTTCAGTAGTATCAGATTATTTTTGCTTCACTTTTGATTCTTTTATAGTCAAAAAAATTCTATTTTTTAAAAACAGTTGTGTTAGCAGAATTTTTGGAAAGACCTACACATATCTTACTTCTAGATTTCTTAGTTATTACATTTCAGTAGCATAAGATTTTTATTTTAATTCATTTTTGGTTCTTTTATAGTCAAACTTGCAAAAATAACCTAAAAAATGCACGTGATTTTTCTCAAACGGAGTTCTGTTAACGGACGTTTTGGAGAGGACTACACATGGACGGCTCTCTGAAATTATACATGTAGAAGTATTTGTCTTTTAAACATCGCTAAATAAATCTTTTTTAAATTGCAGAGTGTTTTCTTTAAAACACCACTAAGGTTTTTTTTAAATCATAGGGGAAGAGTTTATTTTTAAACAGAGTTGTGTTTATGGAGCTTTTGGAGAGGCCTACACATAGATGGCTCTAGAGTTTTTCTTTAATTTATCAGAAGATTGAAAGCTGTCTGCTGGACCTCTTCAGGAGGAGTCATTTTTTAAATTGCATTGTTCAGCTAAGTAATTGGTATTTTTTAAGATTTATATATTTTTTATTTCTTATTCTTTGCATGCTTAATATTAATTCTTTGGGCAGGGAAAGATTGTTTATTTTGTATATAAGGTGCTATTGTAAGCTGCTTCTTTTTAGGCTTAATGTCATTGTGGGCATATAAGAGACACAGTGTTAGATAGCTAGTAGACTTAGAGAAGTGATTACATAGCAGAATCAGTCAGATAGATGGGTGGCTGTCAGGAAAGGTAAGAAGGTAGCTCAGAAGATTCCTGTGGCTACTCCCCTCTCGAACAGATATTCGGTTTTGGGCACTGTTGAAAAGGATTGCCTCTCAGAGGAAAATAGAAGAGGCAGTCACATCTTGGCCACTAAGAATGAATCTTATGCTAGATAGGGTTTGAAAAATGGAAAAGAATAATTGTCAGGGGCACAGAGAAGAGATTCTGTCGCAGTGAGCATGAATCTTGGATAGCACAGTGCTTTCCTGGTGCCAGGATTAAGGACATCTCAAA